CCCAACTCAGGCAACCCCTCCACCCCACAGCCCAGCCCCACCCAGGCCAGGTCCCATCAGCCACTCACCCTCCGGGGTAAGGGGCACACTGACACCTGGCCCCCCCGAGTTGAATCATAGTAATGGGGAGCCCCGATGAGGACCAGGTCGGAGCTGCCGTCTCTGTCCACGTCCACGGAGCAGAGGGAGGCCCCGAAGTAGGAGCCGATCTGGAGGACAGAGCCTAAAGTCACCCTGCCTGCCTCTGCCAGAGGCACCCCTTCTGGGCCAGGTCCTGCCTGGGGAGCCAGGCAGCAGGACCTCCCCCTATGAGCCCCAAATCCCTTCCTCTCCCCCCTCTCCACCCCTGGAGACCTTGCTCCCCTCATGTTCCACTCTGGCTCCCTCCACACCCCACCTGGGTCCCTGTGACTTCAGCCTTCGGCCTCCATTGCCTGGACTCCTGGATGAAGATGACAACCTTCCCGGTGTGCTGATGGCGGGGGGCCCCTAGGACCAGGCTCTGTACCCCCTTCCAAAGCGCCAGCTCAGTGGAGTAACCTGAGGGGGCCAGGCCTCAGCACAAAGGCTCCCCGCACGCCCCGCAGCTCCCACCCCTCCCAGGCAGCTCCTCTCCCACCTGTCCTCACAACCAACGCCTTTTCTCACCCAGGTAAGAGTCCCTCATGTCCTCATTCTCCTGAGACATGTTGATGAAGGTGGGGCTCGTATTTGGGGGGTACAGGAAGGCTCCTCCAGACCAGTCGAAGCTCCCCACAGCCCCCAAAACTGGTCCATCCTGGGAAGAAAGGATTCTGGGCTGAGCAGCGGGGAGAGGAGAGGACGGCAGTTCCAGGGCAATCCTGCTGTCGACTCCTCCTACTCACCTGCCACCCACCCTCACCCTCCCACCTCCCTGCTTGCCCTCCTCCCCCAGGCGGCTGAAGGGGACCCCACTCACAGGTATGAGCACTGCGCTGAAGCCCTCCTGGGACATCTCCAATTCGAAGGAACTGCTTCTTGAGGTTTGTGTACCTAGGGGAAGCCATGACACCTGGGTCCTGGGTGGGAGATGCACTTCAGCTTTAAGAGGATCTTGTGTTGGGGACTAATACCCAAAGTAAGGGAGGGGTTGCTGCCCACACATGGGTCCAGTCTCTAGAAGGAAAAGCGCTTATGAGGGAGGGTTTCTGAAGCGAGTAGTTCCATCTCCGACTTACCCTCAATGGCAAAGATCTTCTCTTTCAGTTGGTTTTGAATGTCTCTCAAAACATCGAAGTTCTCCACTTTAAATATATATTCATGGGAGGGCCTCGATGCGATGTCATTTAATTCTTTCCAGGAATCTCTGTTTTGAAACGCCGATCCCACCTGTGCCACAAAGACCAACTCAGTGAAAATAATCACAAACTAAACATGCCTGCCATGGGCTGCTATCTTCCCATACCACTGCACGGTCCATATTATTACACCCAGTGGGTGGGGAGAACACTGAGGCTGAGGAAGGAAAAGGGTCGGGGTCCCCAGGCTAAGCAGCGCTGTCACCCCGAAGTCAGTAGGCACTCAGAGAGCTGGGTTGTGTCCTCCAAGAGGAAATTGCTGAAGCAAGAGGGTGCCCGGGGAGGGCACCCACACCCTACCCCGACTGCATAACGGAGGATGCCTGCTGCCTCAGCCATGGGGATGACATCCTGGTAACTCAGGCGGTCCCCTGTCTTCTGCCCATCGGTGATGATGATGAGAATCTTTGAGGCATCCTTTCGGGCGCCTCTTGAGGCACTGAACAGCTGGTTTCTGTCAGAAAAGAAGAGAGTCCAGGGGACCCCTGAACAGAGCTGTCGCCAGCCCCTGACCCAACTGATGTGGTACGAGAATGAGGAGGTGCCTCTTCTGCTGGGAGGCCCTGGTCCCACCCAGAGGCCCCCAGATTGATGAGGACACACTGGGTGGGACCTGTCCCTCTCTCATTGAGACAGATGAGGCCCAGCGGGGGGCGGAGGACAGGATGCTCTGGGGAAGGACTCACATGGCTAACGAGATGGCTGAGGCCGTGTGAGTGTTCCCCTTCAGCTGGTGCACGGAATCCAGCAGGCCTAGTGGGTCTGAGCTGTCCATGAACTCTTTGAATGTGAAGTGCACCAGGAATTTGTTGGAGAACTGCATCAGGGAGAACTGGGACAAGGGAGCCGCGTCGTGCTGGCACTAAGACCATGCCCCTGGACCCCCCGCTACCCCCCGTACCCCGCCCCTTCCCGTGCCTGTGGCAAGCCTCTCAGGCGGCACTCGCCCCCCTCCCTCACGCACACCTGGGCGCTGGGTCTCTGGAACTGGCTCATCACAGCCTTGATGAAGCTCAGCATCTTGGCAAAGTTGTTATAGGAGATGCTGCCTGAACCGTCAATCAGGAACAAGATGTCCTGCTCCTGCCTTGGGCACTCTGGGGAAAGAGGTGGCACTGGTCCTTGGAGGGACCTCAGCCCCCTGGTGACAGAACTCAGCCCGCCAGGGGCTTCTCTGTCCTCTGCCCAGGACAGGGCCCTTTGGTCTCCTAAAGTCTCTAAAGAGGCTGCATCTGTGGTTTAGCTGCTCACACCTGTGCAGCCTGTCTGGCTGGTAAAAAAGGGAAAGTTCCTCCAATCCAGGTGGTCAGAAGCTTCCACCTTAGTGGTCTGTGGCCCTCCCATGGGGCCCCCCCATACCTCTCCCCACAACATCTCTGCAACCCACGAAAGGTCTCTGCTCCAGCCCCTGGCCAGGGACTGTCCTCATTGGTCAGTGCTGAACTGTTCTTTAAATTTTTCATGTCACCCCTGACAATAGCCACACACTAGCCCTGTTCTGTTCTCAGCTTAAATACAGGCTCCCATTCCCCTCCTGGCTTAACACAGACCCTGCCCTCAGAAAAGGAAGCTCTCTCAGCACTCAGGGAAGAAGCCCCATGCTATCTGCCTCCCAGCTTCCCCTTTTCGGCCCCAGAGGCCTCCCACCAGAGAGAGTGGTGTCCTGGGTGTTCTCACAGGAGCCCAGGTGCCTATGGGAAAAGTTTAGAGCCTAGTAGATGCTGAAAAAGACACCCCACTCAGTGGCCAGATACTCCTCCCCCCCGGGGCCTGAGTGTGAATGTGAAACCAGGGAGGGGCCTTGGCCTGCTGTGGGCGGGTCTGAAAAGTTCAATGTCCTGCCCCTTTGTCTCCCATTCACAATAGCACCAGGGATCCAGGCCCTGTACATGAGCCTGCACACACACACACACACACACACACACACACACGCACACACATGCACACACGCACAGACACGCTCACACACACTCACTCACACACTCATACTCACACATGCACATATGCACATGCATGTGCGCACATTCACGCACAGGCATACGCATGTGCATGCATGCACACACATATATACACATACACATACACACAAACACAGACCCATGTACGCACATACACATATACACACATATATCTATCTGCACACAGATACACACATCATACACACACACATCCAGACTGACTACACCCTCGTCACTCTTTCCCAGACTGCTGCACAAACCAACCGCTTATACCCAGGTGCACCGGGTGAAAATAAATCCCCTTCTCTCTAAAATTCACAGCAGTCGGCACTATGTGAGCCATGACCACGTGTCAGGCACTGTGCTAAACCCCGGCCATGGGACATCTAATGTTACTCTCAGTGTTGGGTGTGTTATCGTACCCATCTGGCAGACAAAGAAACCGGGGCTCAGAGAGGGTAAGGTCATAGGAAAAATTCTGCAGCGGGACAGTGGTGGGGAGGTGGGCGTGAAAGCAGGCAGTGGCTCCCCAGCCCATGTTTGAAACCACAACACCATCCAGCATATTTTTTTCCAGATCCCTTTTTTATCTACTCTGGTAAGGGGAGGGGTCTCTCACCCCGCTGCACTCCCAGTCAGAAGACCTGGTGGCCTGGACACTCACCCTGCAGGGCAGAAGGCAGCCTCTGGGCCTGCCAGGAGTGGGAGGTCAGGAAGAAGCAGAGCCCGCTCAAGTACACGTTCTCCTGGCATGCCTGGTGCACAGTAGGGCCACAGGCCTGGGGACAGAGGGTGGTGGGAGGACCTGCTTCTGCTCCCACCCCACCCTCCCATCCTAGCACCCCACCTTCCATGGGATCCCCAGGTCCCCACTTTGTCCCTCCCTCGGGTGCTGCTGTCACTCAGGGCAACTCACCAGCAGCTGAAAGGGTCTGGTGGCAGCCGTCAGGGACAGGCCCAGCGACATGTTCACAGCCTCCCTGGGGACTGGAGGACAGATATGTGCATGTCAGCTCTGGGTCACCAAAGGGGGCAGTGTATAACCGGTGCAGGGGTCGCTTCAACTTGGGGGACAGGAGGCCTGACAGATAGATGGAGCTATGGGGGTGCAGGGGTGCAATGGGCTGGGCGGCCTTCGAGGGGTCAGGAAGTCTGTCTGGAGGATACGGGTTGGCAGACAGAGCTGAAGCTGGGAAGCGGGTCCCCTGTTCTCCCAACAGGCCCCCCGAGCATGAGAGCCTGGAGTTGGGTCCCAGGGAGGGGCAGTGACTCACCCTGCAGGGGGATGGGCTCACAGGTGCCCGTGCTGTAGTCACACCGGTAGAGGCCGCCTGTTTGGTTGGGAGCCGTTGTCTCCTGGGGGGCTCCAACCACCACCCTGGGGAGACAGAGCACTGCAGTTAAGTGTGATAACACTGAAGCCAGACTGGGCCTCACTCTCTTCATCTATCAAGTGGAGATTAATAACAGCGTAAGTTCTGCATGGGTGGGATTTTTATCTGTTTTATTCTCTGGGCATATGCCTTGCTCCTGAGACATACAGTAGGTGTTCCATAATTGTGGAATGATGGATTCGTACCTCATCAGGTTGCCTAAATCAGTACCCGCATCACAAGCACTTGGCACAGTGCCTGGCACTTAGTAGGTGCTCAATAAACGTTAGCTGTGGTTATGGAGATGGCAAGGAAGCATCTGCATTCAGCTCAGTTCTTTGTAACCTGGGCGAATTGCCACAGTGGAGAGGAAGGCTTGCAGTAAAGGGAGGGGCCTGACCCTGTGCGGGGACAGGAGTTGACGAGAGCCAAAGAGTCACCACCGGGCCCTCACCAGGAGTCGGTGTACTGGGCCACACTGTGTCCGAACCCAGCCTTGTCCATGGAGAAGATTGTCAGCTTGTCCGTGTCCAAGTTGAAGCAGACAGAGGACACCAAGGCTTGGGGAACAAGGTGAGGAAAGAAGCTTTGTTGGAGGGTTGTACTCCTCCTTTATCTCCCGAGCTCCGACCCCCGCTCACCCCTCCAGGCCCAATGCCCAGCATCTCCTGATCTCCTGGACACCCAGGCCCGGGCCTCCCCCAGCCCAGCTTCTCTCTTTCGCAGACAGCTCTCTACCCACTGGCCTGCTGGTAATTTTCTTTTTTTTTAAATTATTTTTTATTATGAAATACACAAATATAGAACGCTTCACGAATTTGCGTGTCATCCTTGCGCAGGGGCCATGCTAATCTTCTCTGTATCGTTCCAATTTTTGTATATGTGCTGCCGAAGCGAGCACCTGCTGGCAATTTTCAATTCTCCATTTCCACCAAGCAACACCCCAGCTCTAAAGATGCTCCTTCTCATGCCCACCAATGGGCTCCTCAGAGGGAGAGTCCAGGAGAAGTTGGGGGTCGGCTTTAGCTCAAGCGGTTACTTCGTCATTCAGACTGCTAATCCCTAACCAGGAGAAGTTGGGATGAAAGAGGCAGTGTGGACAGAGCACAAGGTGAACTTGTGCCTATTTGAGAAATTTCTGGATCGTCCAGACAACTGGCCTGTCTTCCACCATCTCCTGAACTCCCTCCAAAGTGGTTTCTCGGTATCCTCTCTCTACACAGACTCCAGATGAACCCTAGATCCTTCCTCTAATGTCTGAGCCCCAAACGTGGGCATTCTCAGCTCCCTCCCTACCTGGACCCCACCCCCCTCATCCCCTTCCTGTCTGCCCCCAGCTCACCTGTCAACAGGAGCAGGGAAGTCCTGCTGGTGGCCATGGCTAGATGGTCAGACATGGACTTTCGAGCTCCTGAGCCGCTCGGGGACACCAGGACCAAGATGACAAGGAAGCAAATGAGCAGAGGTGGTCAAGAGGCTTGAGGCAGAGAAGGAAGTTGTCAGCATGACTCAGAGGTGAAGGGTGGAGAATATGACGAAAATAAGCAGAGAAGGGGACTGAGGCAGCTCACACACTCCTTTCCGGGAGTCTTTCTAACTAGAGATGACTGGACTTGCTTCTCTTGCTTCGTCAACCTAGGCTTCGGCGAATGCAAACCTCCTGCCCTGCCCTGCATCTCCCAGTTCCTGGTCATACTGGCTGAAGGGTCCTCTTGACCTTGAAACTTCAGTTAGCCTGGGGAGAGGGAAGGCGCCGATGTCAAGGTGGGGTCAGGGTCCTCATGGAGACCCTGATAGGAGTCCTCCACTTCTGACCCGAAAAAATCTGGGTCGAGGTGTCAATCAACTGGAGGGGCACAAAGGGGACATTCACTGGTTTCTTCAACAAGCCTAACCTGAGGCTGATTTTTCACCCCCTCTATTAGCAGAGGGATAAAATGCAAACCACAAGGCCCAGTTCCTGGGTTCGTGGAGAGGGCAAGTGTGTAAACAGCGTGACTTTGCTCTGAGGGGAAGCCCACTGACTACAGAGGACCTTACCCCAGCTGGGAGGGGGCCCGTTTTCGGGAGGCATCCTGGAGGAGGTCACACCTGAGCTAAGTATTGAAAGCAACTGACAACAGGGGAGCCTGTATCAGAAGGGAGACCAACTGTGGAAGAGCCATGAGATAGGAAGGCCTCTGGGGCAATCGGCCATGGAAACCAGAGAGTGGGAGATGGGAAGTGGCAAGAGATGAGGTGAGTGGCCTGGAGGAGGAGAGGAAGGGGAAGTGGGCTCCCGCCTTGGGAAGCCCCCTTAAGCCATGTTGATTTTTTCCTGAAGGCAGAGGGAAGTATTGATCTTCAGATCTATATTTTGGAAAGATGGAAAGAGGGGTTGTGTGGGACATGGTTTTATTGGGAACTAGCTGGAGACTGATCGGTCAGGAGGGAGGTCATAGGGGCCTGTGGAATGAGCTATGGCCATGGGGATCAACTAGAAGTGACTGGTCTCTGAGGGGAGGACAGTGGTGACAGTTCCTGAGCTGGAGAGTGCTGGGGATGGGCTAGCCCAACATTGGTTTTGAGAAAACCAAAACACAGTGTTGGAGAGCTTGGACTCTTGCAGCCTCTCTAGTTTCCTCATTTGCCAAGTGAGGGTGTTAATAAAAGTATGCACCTCCTCTTGTTGCTGGGAAGGTTGAGTTAGTAAGTGTGAAATGCTTACAAGAGTGTTGTAAGAGCTTCAGTTGTTGGCTATTATCATCACTACGCCATGATTGTTGTATCAGGTCAGAGGGTCCTGAGAGGCTCAGAAGAGGAGATGTCCTAGAGGCACTGGGTGTGTGGGGCTGGGTCTCAGGAGAAAATCTGGGTGGGAGATGAGTTTGGAAACCATCCATGGAAGTGCTGGGTGAGAACCTGGTGGGAGTGTGAAGAGGGAAGAGAAGATGGGCCTGGGGTGAATCCCAGGGAAACAGCCATGTGGGCAGCCAGGCAGGAGCCCCTGGAGACTGAGGAAGAAGTCCCAGGAGATAGGGAAGGGCATCATGGAAGGGCGGCCTCGAGGGAGTGTGAGCAAGGTCTGGCTGCCAGGCACCAAGTGAGGCAAGGAATGAGAAAGTCCCCAGGTCTGGCAACCAAGGCTATTGGTGACCTTAGAGCAGGCCGTGGGGTGGGGGAGGCCAGGGGGGAAAATGTGGGCACCAATATCATCTAGAGGTAAGCAGCCCTCCAGACCTCAGACACAGTATGACTGGGAAAAGGTCCTGGAATTCTTAGAGATGAAGAAAATGAGGCGGGGAGAGAGAGAGATAAGAGGAGAGAGAGACAGAAAGAGAGAGAGAGAGAGAGAGAGAGAGAAGAGGGGGAGAGGGGGAGCTGGTATCTTTTCTTATAAAAGCACTAATTCCAT